AAGAAATGACTGGCTGGGGTTTTAAATGTAACTTTAGTTTACTTTTGACTGTCACAGCTCTAAAAAAAAAAAATCTACACTCCATTTCTTGACTTCTCTATACAACAGTACTAGGTGGTGTGATGCCCTCTCAGGCTCCCAGAATGAGATTTGTCTGAGGATAATTAGGTTAGAGAAAGAGCTGCAGTGTGGGCCAAGGCTGTAACATCATCCAGGTAGCAGCACACGGTATCTAATGAGAGATCAAAAATTCATTGTTATGACTCATAATCTCATAAACACGTGGTACAGTGTATGAGTCAGTGTAAAAGAAATATGGGAACTCAACAGTTAGATTAATAGTAAAAGCCCCACTAAATCACTACAGTGTCACTGTTAAACTATATCCCACAACTGTGAGATGCATTAATGTGGGCGTGTGTCCGATAGTATTACTGAGTCAGCCATGCAGCGATGCTGATTGTGTTAACATATTTGGGAAAACTCTTTTACACTCAGGCATAGAAGCCAGATAATGTGTTGAGCATGTGGACAGTGAAACTCAAGCTGATGATTTTGAGTGGAAAAGCTGACACCACATAAACGCATAAACCCTGTATTTAACAGAGGATGATAAATGCACTGTTTGTGTTTTACTTTTGTACCATTCAAACCAGAACATGCTTTCTGGCCAAGGTCTGGACATTCTCCACCATTCATATAAAACCTAAACTATACTATACAAGTATTAGGAGTAGTAACTATAATCTGCTTCCATATTTCACTCTGTCAGTGAGTGATTTTCTATGTCACGCTCATTGATTTTCCTTCTGTATCTCTTTTTCAGAGCAAGGAGATAGCCTTTCAGCTCCAGGAAGACTTAATGAAGGTCCTAAATGAGCTGTACACAGTAAGTAGTAATGACTACCCCCCCACGCCCTAATGCACTTCAGTACACTGGTCTGTCTTGTGGTTTGCTCCGTTTTACACCACCGAGCTAACTAACCTATGACAGCTTTATGTCTTTAACTCTGTGGCTCAAAGATCTTAGAGGGATACTATATGACACGTTCAAACAAACGGACTTCCACCAAAGTCTCACATTTCAGCATAAAAACTGTGAAACACCAAGTCTTGTACCCTGATGAAATGGCTATTTTGCTTAACTCCTTGCACAGTACATTTTCTGTGTTTTTAATGGCTCACAACAGCTGTGTATTCTTGCTCTTCAAAACAAATTCATGCAAACCCATAAGGGGGAAGGAGCCAAATGTAGTAATAAATGTCATAT